AAACACATTAACTATAAGAGGAAAACAAAGGAACAACAGGACCACTGAAGTGCAAGAAAAACAAACGCCAACATTCAAAGAATCGAACTATTTGATAACAACTGCTATATTCCTGACTTAGTACAGGACATTTTAAGAAAAATGGTGGGTTGAACCTGGTTTTATGGCTAGCCAAACCTCACGCTTATATGCCAATGTTAAAAAGTATCGCTAAAATGACAACACTGCGTGACAGAAATACAGCACAAACACACGCAAGAACACTCAACAAACAAATAATATAATAGTCGACACAACATACAAACCGCAGAACAACAACGAACATCTTCCATCAAAGACAGATACCACAAACAGTGACGCACTTACATAACAAAGTCCACAAACACAATCTGCATAAAATTTAACAGGATAGAACACAAACAGTCGTTGTATCAGCGAAATACTGAATAATATTTTTGTAATTTGTTTCGTTTTTTATTCTAAAAATTCTATTCTAATTACTTTAGAATACTTTAAATAATTTCTAATATTTTCAACAAATGAAAGACTCTTGTACTATTCATGAAATGACATGTTTTATATCAACATTATACATTTTTGTAAGACCAGATGTGCTTTTAAATGTATCCCTAGACCACAGTTCGAACGTCATTTAAGTCACATAAATAAACTCATCATAGATACCAGGATTAAAGTTTTGTAATTCATACATTTAATCAGCCGTACAAATATGTCCTAATTATACTTATATAAAAATATAAAAATAAGAAGCTGTGGTATGATTGCCAATGAGACAACTCTCCACAAGAGACAAATGACACAGACATTTACAACTATAGGTCACCGTACGGCCTTTAACAAGGAGTAAAACCCATACCGCATAGTCAGTTATACATTATACTTTATTTATGTAGACGAATCCAGTATACCACTAGAACAAAAAAAGTCGCGTTCTTATCCTTTAATATAAATAGAACAAAGTTGACAAATATTTATAAACCTGAAACTGCTAAAACAGTATGTAAGAAATTAATGCTCTACAAACTGTATCCCACGAGCCTGCATTTAGGACCCCAGTATAATAAATGATGATTCGTTGATTTCACAAAAAATAGCCAGTTTTCTTTGAATAATTGTAGGTTGCTGTAATTCATCATCTATTATGATAGTCAAATGAGACTTTGATACTATGAATGTAATTGGCTTTTTTATTCTTAATTATTATAAAGATAAAGTCTACAAAAGCAATGATACTTAAACGCATATCTTTGCAATATATACTTCTCAAGAGAAGCTTAGCAACACAATATTTGACCAAAAATAAAGTAAAAGAAAGTTTTGATTTATCTTATCTGTGTTTTTATTTGTCTAGTAAAAAGTATTACATCTATGTTTGTCAAATGTCAGAGCAGCCATACTGTTCGCACATTTTGAGAGTGTAGGTCAAAATTGAAAGTCACAATTTAAACAATTTTTTGCACATGATCTATAGTTAACAAATGCATACGGATAAGTGCAGAATACGATCTTGGCGTAGTAATAAGATACTCGTATTACTTTGACAGTTGTGTGAATAAACATACACTGCATTGACCCATGTTAGTTATCGTGCCTCTGATTTCTGCTTATATGTTGTTATTGAATGATATATTCAGGAAATTGACGTGTAATAATTATTTAAAAGGATCCTTGATTTATATGTATAAACATATAATTATCGTTAATTTAGATAAAAATAATATTAAATGTGAAAATATTGTTTTTTAAACTCTTTATGTTTAAATTGTCCTGTTCTACCATTCAGTCTTTAAATGGAGTATGTGTGCTTTATTGCCGTCATTTATAAATCTCACATTAGCGTTTTGAATTTTGGGTGAAAAAACATGTTTACAAACTTGCAACAGCATAGAAAGTCTTCAAACACCATAAATGTTATGAAAAGGTGTGTGTAACAGGAATATACCAGCCAATACAGCGGCAAACATTTACCATGTTTTCTCTAGATTGAGATGAATTTCCAAATAATGCTTTCAAAGTAAATCCACCATTTGAAGAAAATCAATTTAGACGATCACGTTTATATAACAATACAGTATAATCCGTTACTAAATATCACAGTAATTGCATTACTTGTCGACTTCTTAAGTTACATGAAAAATTGGTAGGTTTAATTTAATATTAGTAAGCCGTGTTTATTGTTCGTCTTTTGTTGTTGTTATTCGTTGTTTGTGTGTTTGGTTTATTGGCGGTGAAGGGTGGTTGATGCGGTCTGTTTTAATGTGCTGTATTTTTGGCTTTAGTGTTCACGAATAAATGAAAACTTACATTAACATTACCAATTTTGCTGCGCGTCAGTTAATATAATGTCCTTTAACGGATCTATGCCAAAATGTTTGAAAATCTAAAAACTAATAAAAATTTTGTGTGAAGAACCCTTTTTTAATATATAAGTTTTATTTCGATAGATATTCTTTTTACATGGCGAATAATTTTTGAGATTAGAATCACACTCTTAATATATAGTTTGTCTTGTTTAATAAAAAAAGATATGATTATGTTTTCAATTTGTGCGGAATATGTTTCCGAAAAATATGCACAATTTATATCGTTCCAGATCAAAAGGTTTGGAGGTAAAAATAGAAAATGTAGACCAGTCTTAAAAAACCAAATTGTTAACAATAAAACAGTCAATACGAAAGTCAATGAAGGGATTACCAACCATATGTTTTGACAAATGCATTATCGATATATATTTTTAACAGAACATTTGAAGTTAAAATGTGTCAATTTATTCATGACAATACCAGATCACAAGATATTGTCGGATGTTACCATCCGGGACAGATAGAAATAAAATATAATTTTCAATTAATCTAGAAATCTGGCTGTGACAATATTTGGTGTAATCGTTATAATTTCAACAAAGACTGCGTAATGCACAATTCATTGAATTTTTCTACAGGTTTTAATAACAATGAAATGTGTTTGCTGACACAGAAAAGAGGCCGAAGATACCAAAGGAGATTAAAAACTAATTAGTCGACGAGAAATCGACAAATTCATGACTAAAACGAAAAATGACATTTAGACAACAGTCCCAAAAACAAAACACTAAATTGAATGATAGTTTTTAAGATATAGTCAGACAATTAACTAAATAATAATATTACCCTAAAGAAAAGAAGTATGATCTTATTGTCACATTTAGAAAAGACTTTTGTCATAAATAACTTCAATTTTAGGTAATAACTGGGAAATAGCAAAATAGAAGACATTTGTTTCATTCTGCTTCCCATTTATAAAAAAAAAAAAATATACAACCATATTTAGCCACTACTCATATCGTCAACTGAGACTTTAATAAAGCTGATACATGTAATATATAGTCGTTGAGTAATTCAGTGATCTAAATTTAATGTAAAAAAATAAGAAGGGTCTCCCAATATGAAAAATCTTATTTCAATTCAACAATGGCTTTCAAGAATCATTAACAACTGAGGAAGAGCGAGGACTGAAATCTATTCAGAAGCTACTGAGTTCAACTATAATATTGAGTTAAGTTCATACTACTCAAACTGTAGTTTTTAATGTGATGTCTTTATTAATTTTTGTTTATCTATTTGTCCTGTTCCCTTAGTCGCGATTTTAGTCAATGTGTATGGCCTTGCTTGAATGGTTCATATAATTCTTTTAATCATAAAAACTGAATATGAAATGAATTTTAAAAACTTTTGTATAGCATAAAGAGTTGAAACGCCCTAATGTCATACTTCTTTGTAAGCTATGTTGATTATAAGGATATGGTTGTGACTGCATGAAAGGCATGAGTATTGAACCTTTATACGTATAATCAGTATATATCTTCTACTTGAAACGACTTTTAATCATTTTAATATTTCCTTTCATAAGTTAGCAGTAGAGTGTTACAATTATGCTATTTAATCAATGGCTTTAACATTTGTAATGGTTAAGCTGAAGTTGCATAGTATTGGTGTCATACATATTTGTCAGTTTGTCGTAGTGATAATCCTCTTCACTCTTGTTTTATAATGACTGAAAGTAACTTATGACTGTCCATTTTTGGATTTCCTTGGAGTTCGGTTTTTTTTTAATAGATACTTGTTTATTCCAAAACATTTCATGATTCAAATCTCCTCAGTTGCCCAGGATGCAGGCTAAGGATCCCCCTTTATAATTAAACCAACTGCCCGGGAATGTTACTTTTAATCGTTGGATTTTCATTTCAGGAGTACTTAAACTCAACTTGTTGGACCTGAACTGCTTACCAAATATCAGTACCAAAGCCAACTTCTTAATTAAAAAACGGTTCCCATATTTAGTAAATCATTAGATTTAAATGCAGTTTCCGATAAAATGTTTATTATCTTTTTATCTTTTTGTCTTACTTTTTGTATTTGTGCTTTCTGTCTTTCGTCGAGTTGTGGTCTTTTGTTGCCACTTTTATATCTTTCTTTTTTATGGTATTCACCTTCCAAAGTTATGGATTTGTTTTTAGAATAATCAGTAACTTTAAAGCGAGGGAGACGAAGTTATAGATATTGAAATAGGAAACGTGAATAAGGATCGAATAATGCTAGTCAATCTAGTGGTCTATGTTTTGTAATATGACATGATAAATACTGAAAGAGTTCTGGAAATGTAAACTATAAAAAAGTTATTCTGACAAAAACAGAGTTAAGGATTGAGTTGCCAAAGTTCAGAAAAGCCATTTAGCTATATAATTCATCACCCATCGATGTACAATTTGTTATAAATAAACACAAGGTACTCATGATGTAAAAATTTACCAGTTATATTTGAAATTGCAATAGCATTGCTTTAAAAAAATCAACATAGCAGTTGAGGAAGTAAACAAAATATAAAAAAAATGTTTGATAAAAAATAAAGACAATCTTGGAACGATATATTTATAGTAATTCAATTTATTTAAAATTAAAAAAGATACAAATAAAATGATCTAAATAATTGTACTTGCTTACCTGTTATATAAGTAACTGTATCTTTCGTTTAACCAAAATCAAGTTTGTCTCTCAAGGATATACATTTTGTGTGTCTATCAATTGTAAGTCAATATCGTTTATAGTATAATGAATTACTGAACTTTCATCTGATCGCGCAGTGTATAACACATCGATTTGATTCAATTTGTACAGAAAATCTGAAACTGTCAACAGTAAATACGTTTCTTGCATTAATCAAGCCATCCTAAAGCATTAGTCTTTCTTTAATGATTTCAGCTGTAACAGCTTTCTTAATATCAAGGATTTAGATGCATGTATGTCATATGCCGTAGATTTAATTTTCTATTCCGAAAAAGACAGTCCATGTCCTGATGTTCAATAGAGCTTCAAGATTTGAAGTTTGAATAGATATCAACATTGCCTTGTCATTTGAATTCTTTTTTTTTCTGTATGCGTAAAATGTGTTCGTTTGAAATCATTATATTAAACTACAACCGATTTAGAGACCAGTTCGTTTATCTCTTAAAGGTATCAGGTATTTAAACCTGAAACATATAAGACATGTTATTGCTTCCGTTTGTAAAAGAAGGAATAGTAAAACATATAAACGCACACCTCTAATAGAAGGAATGATATGAACCCTAATCAATTCATGCATGATTATATTTATCATTCCTTCCAGATAATGAAACAAAAGTAAAATAACAAAAATACCGAACTCCCTGGAAAATTCAAAACTGAAAGTCTTTATCAAATGACGATTTCAAAAACTCAATTACATCAAACGAATGGAAAACAGCTGTCATATTTCTGACTTGGTACAGGTATTTCCTTATGTAGAAAATGGAAACGGGGAATGTGTCAGCCAAAGAGACAACAACCCGACCAAAGACCAGAAAACAGCCGAAGGACACCAATGGGTCTTCAACACAGCGACAACATCCCGCACCCGGAGGCGGGCTTTAGCTGGCCCCTTAATAAGATGTATACTAGTTCAGCGAAAATGGACGTCACACAAAACTCCGAAACAAATGAATGAATCAAAATAAAAAAAAAATAAAAACAAAATACAAGATTAACAAAAGCCAGAGGTTCCTGACTTGGGACAGGCGGAGTTAACATGTTTTGTGAGATCTCAACCCTCCCCCTATACCTCTAGCCTATGTGGAATAAACAAATACACAGCAATACGCACTGTAGAATTCAGTTTTAAAAAAGTCCGCGTTCGATGTTAGAATTAATAGGTAAAAGCAAAAACTAAGCAATATGACAACGATCAACATAGACTACTAGCAGTTACTGACATCCAGCTCCAGACCTCAATTAAACTGATTGAAAGATTATGTCTTCATCATATGAAAATCAAGCACAATTCCTCCCGTTAGGGGTTTAGTATCATACCATCATAAAATATACGATATAAGAACATAACCGGTATCATGCAAACAACTAGTTTTAGAAAAAATGTGTTTATTTCCGATACAAAGACCCTATGAGTGAATCAATATTAATTCAAAAAATGCCATCTTTGATGACCTGACAACATTATCGTATCGTAACTATATCCCTTCTGAATAATCTGTTTAAAGGTTTGGTTAGGTTTTGAGATGAATGACGACATTCTTGTGCTTTGTATAGAATATTACCATAAAAAATGGGATGTGATATTCCTGAACGTATAAGATGTCTGCACGTTGATTTATATTTACGAATGATGTCCTTGTACCGATGATAAAATTTAGTAAATGTTTTGACAAGTTTGTGATATCGAAACCCTGATGTAATAATAAAGAGATTTCTTTCGTTAAAATCAAATACATTGTTACATACATGAGCGAATCGAACAAGTTAAGATATCTTAACACCATAAGATGGTGACAAGGGAACGTCTCCATTTAAAAATGGATAATTAATAATAGGAAATAAAAAATCATCTCTTTTATAGTAAATTTTAGTATTAAGCTTTCCGTTAACGATGTAGATATTAAGATCCAGGAAAGGGCAGTGTTCATTGTTAACATTAGTGTTATATAAAGTCAGTTCAGCAGGATAAATCTCTTAATTGTACATACTGAAATCGTCATTATTGAGAGCCAATGTATCATCCAAATATCTAAAAATATTATTGAATTTTTGTGTCAAATGTTGTTTCGATGGGTTTTTGCTGATTTTAGTCATAAATTGTAATTCGTAACCATACAGAAACAGGTTCGCAAAAAGTGTTGCACAGTAAGTCCCGATTAGATTCCGATAACTTGACGATATCCATAGAGAACAAAAATGTTATCTAGTTAAAATTCAAGTGCAGTTATCGTATCAAATCAGGTCCAATTGACATAGTTCTTTTGATCTTCAAAAGTTTGAACATATACATGATATATATTTGCATTCCTATTTTTTATGGGAATTTTTTCTAAATGAGATTATGAGGCAAAGTAGTATATAGGGTAGAAAAATCAAAACTTCAAAATCACCAATATGACCATGCAATTCATCATGTACTTCAAACGAATTTTTGACACTTGACACTCCAAAAGTAATTAATTGCACTATTTCAAAGGCCGTATTTGAACAATTTATTTCCAGGTTTTTTATTGTTCCAAGTGTGCTAGTAAGTAAAATCTACAGTTTAGTGGTGGAACAATTTCTTGAAGACGAAATAAATCTATATTTGTAGGGTGTTTTGTACAGCTTCGGAAGCCAGTACATAGTTTGAACTTTCATGTTATTCGGTTCTGCTTGTAAAGAGGTAGCTAAAAGTTTATGTTTGTTACAGATGTAATTTTCTGCAAATTGAGTCAATTGGAATGTTGGTGAATTCCTGATCTCCTTTTGCCAAAACTAAACCTGGTTTTATAGCTAGCCAAACCTCTCGCTTGTATGACAGTCGCATAGAATTCCATTAAATTAACAACAATGTGTAACGGTTCCGATATTACTGGTTTAAAAAGACGGAAAGAGCTATATCACAAACTATACTGACCTGTATGTATATTGGAGAAAATGTATTTACGCATCTCTAGTCAAGTGCATAATCTCTCTAACAAGAAAATTAACAGGCCATGAAAAAAAGAAAAGTTCATATGTAATGTAACTCTAGCAGATGATGAAAATGTGAAAGAAGGTCACCAAAGCTCTCAGAGGGAAATAGAAGGTTTTAACTAAATGCAAATATGATAAACTGAAATATTTAAACCTCAACTGTAGGAAACTTTAATGTTAAAATATAAAAGGGCCTTGTGCGATGTACAAGTATCCAATGTGATTGTTAGTCGTAATTAAACAAACTATCATTATTTACCCGTTCAATGCTTTATTGAAAGAAACAGTTGTATTGACCATAGTTGGTTGACATACGTCTGTATGTACCAAAACCACACATTCACAACAATTAATATATGTTTCTCAGATCAGTAATAAAACATGTAGGTGACCAATGAAAAAAATGACTTACTTATAATGCTGTATCAAATAACGGTGAATGACGTTGAAAACGAATTCAAATGATGACTTCTAGAAAAGAAGAGAATACAAAGAGATGATATTTCGACGAACGGCTGACAACACCACTTGACACCACAAACTAAACAATGACAGTGATTACCCATTATTTTTTTTTCTAAATTGATCGTTACACTGGTGTTTTCTTTTCACCATGGTACACATCTGTAACCACTTGTAGACATTCATATCTATTGGTGGGAAATGTTATTTGATGTAGTATTTACGTATAGACCAGAGATCATTCAACTGTATGATGTTTTATCATTATCATGCGACTGTCAATCAGTTAATCACCGAATGGGAAAGTTTTCAAATATACTATATCTTAAAATATTTCCCCATGTCTGTAAAAAGACTAAACAATTGAAATATCTATTTCCTTACATAATATAGAATTATTTATAATGAAGATACAGAAATACGTCATTGTTGTGGGTTGCGGGTTGATGGCGGCATTTTGAAATAAGCCTGTCGTATTGAGTTTTACAAAAAGAAAAAAGAAATGAATAGATGCAAAGTATCTCCAGTTTATTTTCTTCCTCGGTTATTTAGTAAAAAATCATTTCTTTATATTTTTGTTCATTATAATTCCTAACAACAAATGGAAATATCAAACAAATACTTGTCTAAATCTCCACAGCTGCAATATGTATACAAGAACAAATACGAGTTGACAGGACAACTTATAAAAGGTTTATCAATGTTTCGATGTGCCTATTAAAAAAGCTATTGCTTTTGTTGTTGTTAAATTTGTGATCTTTGATCAATTTATTGACAACTTGTACAGACTAGGTACGATTTAGAGTCTTGTAGATGATGTGGATCTTTGAGCTATTTCATGCCTTTTATAGCTAACGTTATGGTATGATTTCTTTTTATTGTTGAAGGCTATAATTGCTTTTGTATTCGTCATGTGAACTGTGGTCAATAGTTGTTTCATTGGCATTCATATAACCTCTCCATTTGTGTTATATATTTGGAATTTTCCAGGTACTAACTACAATTCAACGATTTATCAGTGACATTTTGATTTATCAACGCTTTGACGTAATGAAGTAATATTGCTGTAGGTATATCATATTTATGACCTTTTGTGCACATCTTGAAAACTTTTTCATTTATTTTGTAGCATTGTATCTACAATGTTAATATTTATTGACATTGATAAATTTTCGATCGTAATTTCAAGAATTGGATCAACGTATATCAATTAAAGCTTTAAGCATAACAAAAACAATGATGCACAGCACAGTTTTCTGATTAGCCTCATTTGGGGAGCAATATATGTGTTTGAATGATAGAAGTCAGTAACTTGAATTTTCCATTTAGCTAAGAAACAAACAAATTCAAATAAACCAGATTCTAATTACCAATTGCGGAGAAGTTTAACTATCTAATACCTGACTAAATAGAACAACATGAACCAGCTATTTTAAAGTGTCCACTAGGAGAATCAAAATCCAGATAAGATAATTAAAAGCAACGATGGGTTCGAAGTGTACGGGCATACAAGACCAATGAATATATACTTTCAATTATGAACTACTGCTGTACCGTATGGGGAAATGCTTCAAAAACTAATATCGACAAATTATACAAGTTACAAAAGAGGACAGCAAGAATAATT